GGGGAGGAGGAGCAGGAGGAGGCGGAGGAGGAGGAGGAGGAGGAAAAGGTACGGATACCGCTACCCTTCCTCCACGTCGCCGTTTCGAATCTCCCGGCCGTGCCCTCGTCGCCACGACTGGACTCGCCGCGACATGCTGGTCAGAGCGCACCCCTCGAGAGGTCCGAGGATGATAGCGATGTCGCTGCTGTGCGGCGTCCCCACAGCTGGGGGAGCTCCGTAGACGTGCTAACGGTGTGTCAGCTAACAGCGATGTGGGAAAACCAAGTGTAGGAAGGCGTGGTGTGTGGCCAAACCAATCGTAGGAGTTCGTGTTTTCCTACAACTCGCTGCGTCGTTTTCGCCCGACACAGTAGCACGTAGCACATTTGAACTGTAGGAAAGTATGGTTCGTGATGTCCTACAAGTTGTTCTGCGCGAGCTCGGTGTCACAAACATCGGATTCCCAACATCGCCGTCAATCAGCATCGCCGTCAGCGCGGCCTTGAGAGTTGCGGTCCTTGCCTCGGAGACGAAGAATTGGCGCAGCCCCGAATGTTTGCAGGTCCGCGCGGGTTTCTGGGATCGGCGCTTGACTCCCTCCCTGGCGAGCGGAGCTCGCCAGGGAGGGAGCCCAGCGCCGAGCCAGGAAGGCCGAGCGGGCCTCCGAATGATTGCGCGCATGCCTTTTTTTGAAGCTGATTCTCCAGGAGGTTGAGGAGGAAGAGGAGGAGGGAAAGGGGGAGGGGAGGGGAGGAGGAGGAAGGAGGAGGAGGAGGAGGAGGAGGAGGAGGAGCGGAGGAGGGGAGGGAGCGGAGAGGAGGATGGAGGAGGAGGAGGAGGAGGAGGAGGAGGAACGGGGAGGAGGAAGGAGGGGAGGAGGAGGAGAGGAGGAGGGGGAGGAGGAGGAGGAGGAGGAGGAGGAGGAGGCGGAGGAAGGAGGAGGAGGAGGAGGGGAGGAGGAGGAGGAGGAGGGAGGAGAGGAGGAAGGAGGGGGAAGGCTGGAAGGGGAGGAGGAGGAGGAGGAGGAGGAGGAGGAGGAGGAGGAGGAGTAGGAGGAGGAGGAGCAGGAGGAGGGGAAGGGGGAGGAGGAGGAGGAGGAGGAGGAGGAGGAGGAGGAGGAGAAGGAGGAGGAGGAGGATCCATGGATTTGGCGACCAATCCATGGATCGCTAGTCCATGTATGTTTGCGCGCCCCCGATCATGGGAGAGGACTCCTCGGGCCCCCTGCGAGTCCCCCCGCTTGGGCCTCTCCTGGGCCCCTTCCTACAGGGGGCCCTCTTGATCGGGCCCCCTCTGGGGAATGCCGCCTCGGGGCCCCCGTCGGGGGGGCTCTGCTGGGCCGGGAGGGGCCGGCCTGAGGGGGGCCTCAGCGGGCCGCCTGGGGTGTGCAGAAAACCCGACGGGCGATAACGTGCATCGAACAAGAAAGCGGCATTTGCGGGCAATCTTTCTATCCATATCCAGGGCGTCTTGGACGTTCGTGGAAGGGGCGCCGCAAGGCCGAGGCGCACTGGATATGGATAACATTCGAGCCTCTAGTAGGGGCCTGATTTTAATCCATATCCAGTGCGCCTCGGCTTTCTGGGGAAGGGAGTCCGAAACCCCAAGCTGCAGTGGATATGGACACAAGTTTTGCCCTCGGCATAAGCATAAGCATAAGCATAAGCATCGAACATGAAAACGGCATAAGCATAAACTTGTGGCGCTCCGCCCCTGGCGGCGTTTCCGGCGCCGCCCCTGGCGCGCTCAGCGCAGATACAAGAGATCCGCGCGGAGCGCCAACAGCTTATGCTTGTGCGGCTTGTGTGTTGTCCCGATCCTTAAGTTTGTGCAGTTTGCGCTTATGCTTATGCTTATGCTCATGTGCTGTTCTTTCTCGTGCAAATCTTCAAGCACCGTTTTCTGGGAAATCAGGTCCATTTTTTATGCCTGGCTTCGCCGATCGGCCCGGGCCCCTGCCCCCCCCCCTCCCCCCTCTCCCCCCCCCCTTGTGGGCCAGATCTCTTGGTGGTTTTGGGCGGCTGCTCTTGGCGACTCGTCAGGATCCCTCCGCCCCAGCCTGCTCCTGCGCGACTGGTGGACGCAGATCGACGCAGCTCCAGCCCAGACCCAGACCCAGACCCCCCCTCCCCAGGTCGAAACCCAGGATCAAAAAACGCCTGCCAATGATTGTTACCTCTTGAGGCCATCTCTCGGACGGGGATAGGACGAGGATAGATCCGTTCAAGAGCGTGCCCGGACGCTCTCAGAGCGTTCCCGGACCTCGGAGAAGGCCGCAGCGCCCGAGACCTCCTCCAGGACCGACGGATCTCAGGGAGCCTCGATTTACCGCTACCCGGTGTTGTCCTCGCCCTGGCTTCGTCCCAGGGGTTCTCCTGAGGCCCTCCGGGGGCCCTTGGGGTGCCCCTATGGGCCGTCCAGAGTCCCTCTCGGGTGCCCTCGAGGCCCAGGCAGCGTGCGGGAGCCTCTCTGGAGCTGCAGCGGAGAGGGTATCTTGGGCACCTCTGAGGCCACGGGTGGTGGACAGTTGGAGGCTCCGACGTCCCAGGAGGCGCGTGGGCGAGCTCGACCCCCGCCCTGCTTTCCGCGCCTCCATGGCGGGTTTCCAAGACCCCCTCGCGTTGTTAAAAAACATCCCGACGGGAGGTCTTTCTAAATTTTCTGCCTCCGGGGGCTCTTGCCGGGCCCTGGGAGCATCAAGAAACGGCTCAGGATGAAAAACCGGTCCCGTGGAAAGGGTCAAGACCTTTGGGAGTCGACGTTTCTAAAAAAATCACGACGTCGAGGGTCTGGGCTTGAGGTCCCATAGAAAGGGGGAGCCAGAGATGGGGGAGAGCCAGTCATCGCACACGCCTTCTCACCCCCGACAGGCGGGGGCAAGCGGATGACGTTTTTTTCTTTGAGAGAAGGTTAGGCTTAGACACCCTTGTCGAGGGGTGGTCAATACAATGGGTTGCCGCCCATGGGGGGGTAATGCAGGCCTCCTGAATGGAGTCCGAGTAGAGAGAGAGTGGGAGGATCGCGCCGCATCGCCGATACATCGGCGATGCGGCTCGACGTTGAGCCCGATCTTCTCCACCCGACGGCCCAGATGCATCGACAACATTGCTGGTGCATCGGCGATGCTCGAATTGTAAGAGACGGGGGTCACTGCAAACAGGGGGTCAGCCAGAGCGCCGGATCTTGAAGGATCCTGCAGAGCCAGGGGTGTATTGACCTGGGCTTGCGCGCAGGATCCTGCAGGATCCTTCAAGACGTTGCAGGGCCTTGCAGAGCCCGACTGACCCGGGCTGGCGGCTGGCGCGCAGGACCCTGCAGGATCTTGCAGGATCTTGCAAAGCCCGACTGACCTGGGTCTGGATTGACCCGGGGCCCCTGCGTCCCCGAGATGCATCGGCGATGCATCAGCGTTGCGCGGTGCGGCGCGATCCTCCGACCCCATCTGCTCGGACCCCGCTTGGGGTGCCAGCTGTGGCTGGTCTCGCCGGCGAGGGCAGCCTCTCGAGGCAGGAGATGCTCAACATCAGCCTCTCGCTCTCGCGGCTGCGGGTGCCGCCGCACGAGATGCGGGCGCTCGTGGACAGCGTCGCGGCCTGCCTCGCAATGCGCGACGACCAGGTCAACCAGCTGGACCTGTTCCAGTGGGACCAGGTTCGGGGCAGCCCAAGCTCGAGGGAGGAGGCAGGCTGACCATGACCAGGATGTCGCGGCATCTTGGCGGCGCCGATCTTGGTCGTGGTCCATGTCGGCCGTCGCCGACTCGCGAGGCTGATCCATCGACGGCGACCAAAGACGAGCAGTTACCAAGATCGGCGCCGACGTTTCCGCCTTTAATCTTGGCCAGGGCCCCAGGGCCACTCGTTTCTTTCCCTTCGCAGACAGTCGTGGCGCCAACATCGCAGAGCGGATCTCGTTCGGAGAGCACTGGGATGGGCCCGCCTTGTCCTGGAGAATTCGCTCCGGATCTCGAGGTGAATTTCGTGCGGACTCTTTTGGGCCAGAAATGCAGACTACAAAAGAATCCTCGTGAAATTCACTTCGAGATCCGCTCGCCGTTTTGAGGTCTCTGCACGAACGGAAATACACGCAGAAATCCGCTGCAGCACGTCTGCAAGGTCGGTGCAGTGACAGACAGCGGGGATGGCCAGGACAGTGTGATCTGCCCTCCGCGGCAGACGGCCGCAGCGGCGGCCCTTGGGGTGGGGCTGGGAGAGGGCTCGGGTGGCGGCGGGATATCTCACCCCCGATGGTTAAGTCGGGCACGTCCCTCTACAGGAGGAATTTTCAAAAAGAGGAACAAATAGTCTGGGGACGATGCTCCGACCATTTTTGACTTTCTCTGAATATTCTTTGCGCATGCTTGAATTCTCGCCCAAAGTTCGCCTGTAGGCGGACATGCCCGACCTAACCCCAATGAGGACAGAGCCGAAGAAGTGCAAATTGCGAGGAGCAGGGCGTACGCACTGGCGCTGTGGAGGGCGATGAATGGAGAGGCAGCATGTTGCCAAACAGTTTCCAGATGTCTAAAACCTGTGTTTAAACATACAAACAACATGCTTGAAACATGTTTGGAACATATGTCCGACAGGATAGGACTGTTAGGGTGTCCATTGCCGTGGCATCCACAACACTGGCGAAGGCCCCCGGCTTCGTGCAGGATCGGCGCGCTCCATGGCCGTGTCCGGCGGCAAACGGCAGCCGCGCTTCGGGGGGGCGGCCTTTTTTTTGTATTTCTATTTTTTATGTTTTTTTATTGGCTTCCTTCTTATTGTTGCCCGATCCAAGGACCTGCCGGCCCGTGCGCCAGTTCCACGGGATCCTCCTCCTCCTCATCCTCCTCCTCCTCCTCATCCTCCTCCTCCTCCTACCTCCTCCTCTTGCCTATACTCGTCCTCCTCCTCCTCCTCCTCCTCCTTCTCCTCCTGCTTCTTCTCCTCGCCCGCTTACTCCTCCTCCTCCTCCTCCTCCTCCTCCTCCTTCTCCTCCTCCTCCGCCTCCTTCGCCTCCTCCCCCTCCCCCTCCCCCTCCCCCCCTGATCCATGCAAGCGCGTGCCCGAGAGGGGGGGGGGCCTTGCCTCCTGGCCGGAGGCTCCAGGGTTTGCCCCTGCATCCGTGCCTCTGTGGCCCATCCTCGACTGCTCTCGATGGCCCGCCCGCGTCCGGAAGAAGGCCTCCGCACGGGCGTCCGAGGGGCCTTTTTGTGGACGCAGGCGGGCCATCGAGAGCAGTCAAGGATGGCATCCTCCTCGCGCATCCTGGCCCTCGGTTTTGGCTGCAGGCCCGAGCACGGGCGCCCGGAAAAAGGCCTGAGCACGGGCGTCCAAGGGGCTGGCGCATCCTTTGGTGGGCATGTTTTCCACCGCCACCACCATACGTAGGAGGGGGATGGGGGTCCTCCTCCTCCTCCTCCTCCTCCTCCTCGTCTTCATCTTCGTCCTCCTCCTCCTTCTCCTCCGCATCCTCCACCTCCTTCCCCCCTCCAACTTATGGTGGTGGTGGTGGAAAACAGGGCCATTGTCCTTCTCTGGCATCCTGGCTCTCGGTTTTGACTGCAGGCCTCAGGCGGCCAGGCTCCCTCGCTGCGCACTCGGCCCCGCCCCCAGCACGCCCCGAAGCGGGCCCTCCCGAGGCACGGGCTCGGAGTGCGGCGGCCGCGCGGGGGGGGGGGGGATGCGGTGGTTCGGTGGCAAGTCATGGGAGCCGGGCATACCCTCTGTCTTCCGTCTGTAGCGCCGATTAGCGTCGATCAGCGTCTGGGAGTCGATGAGACAGCGCCGACTTAGCGTCGGTTAGCGTCGACTTCGCGTTAGCTAGCGTCGATTAGCGAGAGCCGACAAGATGGTATGGGAGGCTCCCATGAGTTGCCACCGAAGGATACCCGGCACACCCCGAGCGCGCCCCGAAGCGGGCTTCCTGAGGCACGGGTTCGGAGTGCAGGTGCCGCGCGAGGGGGGGGGGGATGCGGTTGGGGGTGGGGGGGCGCTCGTGAAGGCACGTGCCCTGGGTCGGAGGCGGCGAGAGGCTTGGCCTCGCTCGGACGCGGGCGTTCTTTATTTCGGCAAGGGTCATCGAGGAGCATTTTTCCCTCGGCACCGCAGGAGGAGGAGGAGGAGGAGGAGGAGGAGGAGGAGGGAGGAGGGAGGAGGGAGGAGAAGGGAGGGAGGGAGCACGGGTCCGTCCTGTGCCCAGGATCGGTGTCCGTTGGTTGCGAAGAAATGCACGCGCGAAAGGGGACAATGCGCAGGGCATGGCGAGCAGAGGCGAGGAGCCCAGAGGCGGGCATTGCACGCATTCGCCAGGGCGCCTCGCCGAAGAGGCGCGGGGCAGCGGCGCTCTCCCCGTACAGGAGGCTCCAGATCCTGGTGGGGATTCCCGAGCTGAGGAGGGAGACGGCGATATCCATCGCCAGGCCTCCACTAGTGTTGCATCGGCTTCTATGACCCTGGTCGAGAACTAGAAAACGTACATTACCAATGGCGCTCTGTTTTTCAATCCAAGGACTTTTTGAGGGTCGGGGTCGACGTCGAGGCGGTGTGATGCCAACTTATTTTGTCCGTTCCCGTGGAACCGGCGAAAATGTATACACCGGGATCCCGTACACACCAGGATCCGTTTTCCTGTGCAAATGGCAGCGCAGGGTCGGGACATGCGTCGGTGTATAGAGCTCGGTTCTCCCCACCCGGATTCCTCCTTCAACGGTTCCCCAGTCCAAAATCCCCCCACCTCGGGCCCGGGAGGGGGTGCATCGACCCGCAGTCGCCCACTCATCGACCCATCGCCGATCCATCGGCGCTGCGTCGCCGATTCCGGGTCGACGTCTCCCCCCCCCGAGCCCGCCCCCCCCCCTGTCGTTGCCCCTCGGGAGCGCCACGCGGGGCCCGGGTCGCCCAGAGGGGCGCGACCCGGGCCGATCTCGCTCCGCGCCTCGGTCGCCTGCCTGGGCCGCTCAGGTATGGCAGGTCCGTGTCGTGCCTGCACGGCCCCAGACCCCCATCGAGCCATGACAGAAATCACGACGGCGTCTTTCGTGTCCTCCTATTTTCCGCTGGGGGCCCATACCCGACCCCGGTAGCATCAAACAACGACTCGTGGCGAGCAGCCGGTCCCAGGGAGTGTCGCGACCTTTGGGGGTCGACGTTGTGAACAAATCATGATGCCAGGGGTTTGGGGCTTGACCCCAGCGCGGAAGTTCAAGGTTGAAAGCCGCCAGTGGCCCAGAATCTGCAAGTATAGATCGATCTGGCGAGCCTTCGCCCGCCAGGTCGTTCCATCTTGGCCGATTCTGGTGGAACGGTCGTTCCAGACTGAAAGATACGCGCGGTGTCAGAGACCAACGCTGGGGTCGTCACGACACGCACCCGCCGTAGGGTCAGATGCTCGTTCAGGGGGGCCACCCTCATGGGGCCCACCGAAAGGATCTGCTCGGCTCTGGTTCGTCTCACACTCGACCCTAGCTCGGCCAAGCTTTGGCCCAGGTCGACAAGCCCTTCGACGCAGCATCGGCACATGAGAGACGCGAGTGGCCCCAGGAGGGGCACCAGGACGAGCATCTAAGCAGGGCAGGCCCTGCTGCACGCGGGCGCGAATACATCCATATCTATATATATATATGTATATATATATACATCTATACCTATATCTATATATCTATATATATAGATATATGTATGAATATATATATATATATACATATACATATATATATATATATATATATATATATATCACTGAGCCTCGCGGCACCAGGGAGCGCGAAGAACGTCGTGAAGCCCCAGGTGACCCGGGACAGCGGGCCGCCGACGGCGCCGCCGTCTCTCCAGAGGCCCCGTGGCCCCCATGCACGTGTCGAGCCTACGGGAAGCGCGAACACGGGTGCGGGCGTGCAGGATCACGACGGGCCCCGCTGCCACGCAGCGCACCGGCGCGCTCCGTCGCTCAAGCTCCGGGGGGCACTGGCCTCTCAAGCTTTGGGGGGGGCACGTGCCCGATCTCCGTGGACGCATGGCGCCCACGCGCCAGACCCACGGACTCGCAGCCCATGCGAGGCGCGTGCCCCAGAACAGATGCCCCCCCGGGTGCCTCATGGAGGCCCCAAGGGCGCTGGGGGTCGTACAGGGCTAGGATGAGGATAAATCCGTTCCAGAACGCTCTCAGAGCGTCCTCCTCCTCTTCCTCCTCCTCCTGCTTCTGCTTCTACCAATACTTCCTACCTCTTGAGGCCATCCTTCGGACGGGGATAGGACGAGCGAGGGTGCCAGAGCGTTCCCGAACGCTCTCAGAGCGTCCCCGAGCGCTCTGAGAAGGCCGCGGCGCTCGAGCCATCCTCCAGAGCTGCCAAATCTCAGAGATTCTCGATGTATCCTGCCCCGAATCGATCCTCGCCCTGGCTTCGGCTCAGGGAGGTGGGGGCAGTGCGCACACGCGCGCGCGCTCGTCAGTGGGCACAGCCGAGAAGGACAGCTGGGCGCCTGTCGGCCACGTGCAGAGTGGAGGGTTTCTCTGAAGGGCTTTGGCGACCCGTCCCCCTCCTCCTCGTCCTCCTCCTCGTCCTCCTCCTCCTCGTTCGGCATCCTCCTACCTCCTCCTCGTCGTCCTCTTCCTCCTCCTCCTCCTCCTCCTCCCCCTTCCCCTCCTTCTCTCCTCCGCCTCCTCCTCCTCCTCCCCTCCTCCTCCTACTCCTCCTCCCCTCTCCCCCTCAACCTCCACCTCCACCTCTTATTCCCTCCTCCCCTTCTCCTCCATCCCTCCTCCTCCCTCCCTCCTCCTCCTCCTCCTCCCCCTCCTCCTCCTCCTCCTCGGGTCGCCTACGGCCCCGAGGGAATCCGTGCACCAACCCCCTCCCGGCAGGTGCGGCAGTGGTGCCCGCCGAGTTCGACGCAGGCCCCACCGCGGCTGCGCGCAAGAGTCACCGATCGCCTTCCACGACTCGCAGAGTGCCGACTCGCAAGCGTCCGAAGACATACGTGCCTGCCTCGATGCATGCATGCATGCATGCATGCACCGAGGCAGACATATCTTTTTTATGGATGGCCTGGATCCGCTGCCGGGTATGTACAATCCATTGCAAAGGATGGTACATTTCCTGGCAGCGGCTCCAGGCCATCTGCGAGCTGTTCTGGTGGCTTCGCGTCGTGTCGACTGGCGGCGACCCCGCCGCGGGCGTTCCAGGTTGAACGCCGCCAGTGGCCCAGAACCGGCCTATATGGATCGATGGGGCGATCGAGAAGCCGCCGGTCGTTCAAGTTTGAACGATCCACGCGGTGTCAGGAACCAACATTAGGGTCGTCACGACACGAACCTGCTGTACTCTGCGAGTCGTTGGCAGGCGCTTGCCTGCAGAGGGACCCTTTTGGCGGGGAGTGGCATCCCCGGGCGTGCCCTGGCGCCGTGGATCGGAGCCACGGCGGGGGGGGGGGGAGCGGCCGCACTCGGCCTCTCTCATCATGGGGGCCCTCGCCGCTGTCGAGCAGTAGGGGGGCCCAGGGGCCCCCCCCCGCCCGAGCACTGGCGGGTTGTTGGTCACGAGGGGTGTCCCGAGGGAGGGGGACCTGGCAAGCTGGGTGCGCTCGCTCCCTCCCATCCCTTACCATGGCGTAGGTATCCTCCCGATTCGCACAGTCGGATGTCGAGCAGGGCAATGACAGCGAGAGGGTATCCGCGATGCATGGTAGAGCACGGCATGGCGTGGCGTAGAAGGGCACGGCAGAGTGTAGCATGCCATAGCATGGCGTGGCATTCCGCAGTGAAGCATAGCACCACAAAGCATGCAACGCAAAGCATGGCATCGCACAGCGGCGTAGAACGCAACACCGCACAACATGTCATGGCATGGCGCCGGTTTCTTTGGAGGGTATGTGGATCGTCTTCGAGAGGTATGTGCCAGTCTGGAGTCGTGGCTCCATGTCTAGCTCCGTTTGGCTCCCCGAAAAGCTCCACACAAGGCGGGGCTGATAGAGAGCACCCGCTGGCTCTGCTTCTAACATCGTCGTCTCAACGCAGAAACGTTCCTGAAAACGGCGACGCCCGAAAGTGTCTGTGTGGGGGGGGGAACGAATCGACACCTAATGTGAAATCACTTCCGATGTTTTTGTTCGGTGGGGGGGGGCATTTTCAAGAGTTTGAGGCATCTCTGGAAGGACCGAAAACACCTGCGCTGCAGCGGAAGCACGATGTGGAACAACTGGAGGCGCAGAAATTGGGCCAGCGCTTCAGCGGGAGCAACATGTTGAAACACAGCCCAAGCGAAAATCCACTTCCAGGGAATCCTGTGTGTAAAGAAACAGTGCGCGGAGGGGGGCCGGATATCTTCCGGACGTCATCAGGGGAGAGAGGATCGGGGTTGAAAAGACGGGGGTCAATGCAAACGGGGGTCAGCCAGGGCGCCAGATCTTGCAGGATCCTGCAGGGCCAGGAACGCATTGACCCTGGATTGGGTGCAGGATCCTGCAGGATCTTGCAAGACCCTTCGCATCGACCCGGGCTTGGGCGCAGGATCTTGCAGGATCCTGCAAGGCCTGACTGACCCAGGTCTGGATTGACCCGGGTCAGGAGATCCCCGAGAGGAGAGTAGTATTTCGCATTGTGCAACCGTGGATGGGAAGAGAGCCGAGGGTGAATGTCCGTTGTTGGGAGGCACCTCGTCCCCAGACCCCCGACGTCACGTTGTCTTCGGAACGCCGACCCCCCCAGAGGTCTCGACCCACTTCCCCGGGCCAGCTTCTCATCCCGAGTCCCTGTTTGACGCTCCCGAGGGCCAGTAGGGGCACCCAGAGGCCGAACGATGGCGAAACACCGACCGTCATGATTCCCAAACTAGGCTTGCCTCAGGGGTTCTTACTTGGTCAAAGGTTGGTGCCTCGTATTCTTACGTTGCTCGTTGCCCGGAGGTTCCTCGGGTTCCTCGGGTTCCCCGCCCCCCGTGCCTCCTACTGTTACGTTGCCCTTTTCCCCGAGGTTCCTCGGGTTCTCCGGGTTCATCGGGATCCCCGGGTTTCCCAGGTTCACCGCCCCCAGTTGCCCCAAGCAGCGCCAACCCATGCCAACCCATACCAACCCATGCCAAGCAATGCTAACCCACGCCAAGCAGTGCCGAGCAATGCCGAGCAACGCCAGGCAACGCCAGGCAACGCCAAGCAACGCCAAGCAAGGACAAGCCATGCCAAGCTATGCCAAGCGAGGCGCCAGGCGAGGCGCCCATGCAGGAGGCCTGCCCCTAACCGGGGTCGGCCGGGCTCCTTGGAGGAGGAGGAGGAGGAGGAGGAGGAAGGAGGAGAAGGAGGGGGGAGGAGGAGGAGGAGGAGGAGGAGGAGGAGGAGGAGGAGGAGGAGGAGGAGGAGGAGGAGGAGGAGGAGGAGGAGGAGGTGGTGTGGGTCCTTCCCAGAACCCCCGACGTAATAATGATTTGCTCATAACGTCGACCCCCAGAGATGTCGACCCGTTCCCCAGGACCAGGCTCTCGTCCTGGGCCGTTCTCTGACGGCCCCGAGGCCCGGGGAGGGGCCCCGGAGGCCGAAACTAGCGAGCAACCCTCCGTCGTGATTTTTGTCCTGGCCCGAGGGGTTCTGGGTCCTCGGGGCTCCGTCCCTCGGGACCCCCTCTCTCAAGCAGTGGCGAAGCGTCCTGGCTCGCCTATAGCCCTACCAAACAATGTTCTAAGAACCTCTTGTGGTTTCCACGAATGTTCTTAGAGCATGTCTGGCGGAGTCTGCCTTGTTTGAACACGTCGGGCTTATGTTCTGAGAACATTGTTCTTGTCCTTAGAACATTTCTGGGTTCGAAGAACATGTCGTGGTAGGACTATAGGAATGCCGGGACAGTCGGTCCCTGCTCAACTCTGAGCCACCGAGCCGACCGGTGCGCTTGAGGCTGGCCGCCCAGCGGCGCCCTCGGGCCGGGTGAGGAAGAGAGCAGGAGGGAAGGGCAGGGCACGGAAGCTACTACACGTACCCGGTTTCGGCCCCCAACGTTAAGTCGGGCCTGTCCATCTACAGGGGATTTTTAAAATAGTAAAAAATAGTCGGGGGACTATTTGTTTTGCATTTTTTTGCCCATTTCGGCGTATTGTTTGAGTATTTCTTATTTTTCGTCGAAAATCCCCGTGTAGGGGGACACGCCCGACTTAACCCCAGCGCCAGGAGGCGCCGGAGAAAATCAGCCAAGAGCTGACTCGCTGAACCCCCCACGTTTGCTATCCGCTATCCTACCTTTCGTGACCAGTGTTAAGCCGGACCTGTCCCTCTACAGGGGGGATATTTGAAAATAGTTAAGAAAATAGTTTGGGGACTATTTTTTTAGTTTTTTTGGCCAGTTTGGATTATGTTGTTCTTTGTTTTTGTTATATATTTACATATACTGAGAAAAACAGAGAAAAGAAGCAACAAACAAAACAAAAAAAAACGTCGCAAATCCCCCCTGTAGGGGGACACGCCCGACTTAACCCCAGCGCCAGGAGGCGCCGGAGAAAATCAGCCAAGAGCTGACTCGCTGAACCCCCCACGTTTGCTATCCGCTATCCCCCCCTCTCGTGACCAGTGGGGAACCGACCCCAGCCCCCGCAAGAATGGATTTTGCAGCGGGGGCCCCTGCCAAGAAGCACCCTGCTTGCCTCCAGGCTGCCCCGGGCTTCTTGGGTTTGAGTGGTTTTGCCATGGAGAGCGTGACGTTTTCACACCAGAAATCCATGGACGTCCTCGGGTCTCAGGGTTGGGTTTCTTGTGGGAGGTTTCCTGTGGACTGGCCTCCACTGTACATGTCAACGTTTTGCAATTCCAGCGAAGGTGCGCAGGTGTAGGCGCCCTGTAAGCGAGGCCCGTGCCGGCTGCCGCAGGGAAGGGGGGAAGGGGGGCCGCGCGCGCGGTCCAGTTGGTCTAAAGTAAGTTTAGGGCGGGCACGCCCCTCTACAGTAGGAACATTCAAGGATAGTCAAAAGATAGTATGGGGACGATGTGTTCTGTATGTCTGAGCATGTTTTGGGCATTTTGTAAGCACGTTTTCGGCATGTTGCAAATCTTCCACAATCCGCCTGTAGAGGGACATGCCCGACCTGAAAGTGAGTTCCTCATTGTGGGGGGCGGGGGGCGGCTTTCACGCGCTCATGCCGCCCGTCCCGCCCCTCCCCTCCGCCCCGCCCTCAGTCGCCTCTGTAAGGCGCGGGCGTGCCGGTGAGCTTCCACGGGCAGCCGGCGCTGAGCTAGGTCGGAGGCCGCGGCAGGGGGCGAACGTCCCTGAAGGGCGGGTGGGTGGTCGGACGGGGCCAGGACGAGGACAAACATCCGTTCCAGGACGCTCTGAGAAGGCCGCGGCGCCCGAGGCATCTTGCAGAACCGCCAGATCTCAGAGATTCTCGATGCATCCTCACCCGATTTGATCCTCGCCCTGGCTTCGTCTCAGGGAGGTGGGGGCATCGCGCACGCGCGCGCGCGCTCGTCGCGGGGCACAGCCGAGCAGGGCAGCTGGGCGATTGTCAGCCACGCGCAGAGAAGAGCAGGGGGGAGGGCGGAAGGCTCCTTGGAAGGAGGCTGCTTCTGAGAAGGCGCGGGCCTCGTCTGTAAACAGAAGGCCGGCGCCTTCGGAGAAGCAGCCTCCAGAAGCCTCCCCCCGCCTGCCCCCCGCGCTCCACTCTGCGCGCGCCGCCAAACCTCGCACGCGCGAGAGCACCCGCCACGGGGCGCAGTCGAGCAGGACAGCCGGGCGATTGTCGGCCACGGCCCAGACTTCGGGTGCACTGGCGTGTGCTCGATCCCGGTCTGCCTCTCGGCCTCCCGGGGGGAGGCCGCTCTGTTGGGGCTTCTGGGGGGCAGGCACCAGCAGGTCCGAGACGAGAACTTGCCCCCAAGGGAAGAGTGCGTGACCTCAAGGGCCCGCCCGCTGATGAAGCAACCCCGTCGGAAGCCCGGGGGCGCCCCCCCCCCCGCGGGCTGTTTACAGGCCTGAAGCATTTCCCCATCTCTACGATTGGCATCTCCTTCTCTCGGCGCCCGTCTTATCTGAAGGCTTCCCTCAGCTTCTGAAGGCACATCCCTGAGATTGTCATCGCCTCGGGCTTGTCGATCTTGGGGATGGGGACGCGTACGAGGCTGTCAGGCTGTGTCTGCCCCTGCCGCACCCCCCGAGGCAGTGCAGCCAGCGCCGCAGCAGCAGTCGAGGCTCGGCCCCGCTCTCGAGCTGGCCAGGGCGCACCGCCCAGCTCCCGCCGGCCCTCTGCTGGCCGTCGGCAGTGCCCAGCACCCTCGGCCGTCGGATACAGGCGAGGTTGATCAGTAGGTCGCCCCTGCCAAACCAAGGGTACCATTGTGTCCTGCGTTTCGCGACCCAAGCCTTCCGCGTTCCTATGGCAATGTGGCCCTCGGAGGGGTCGTGTGTCCTGCCGTGCGTCCTCTCCAGTCATGCCCGACTGTACGACCCCTCAGGGGCAGCACTCGCAGGGGTCACCACGGCCGAAGGTGCGTGCGCGGCCGTGTGGCCAGCATTTCGCGCGCGCGCGCGTGATGCAGAGCCGTGCTGCCAGAGGTTCCTCGCACTGCCCTGTGCTCTCCCCCAACGCCTGCGGCTCACGCGCCGACTTGGGCGAGCGCGCGCGAGTGATGCAAAGCTGTGTTGCCACAGGTTCCTCGCACTGCCCCGTGCTGCACCCTCCCCGATCACCTGCAATTTTCAACGGCTGGCGCCCTGAGCGACGCCCTCCCCCCTTCCCTCATTCGAGAGAGTTTAAGCTTGCTATGATGTCGGATGCCGACGGCATGTGCGACGGCCCCAACTGTTTTTTTCTGTTTGTTCTCTTTCTCTCTCTCTCTCTCTCTCGAGTGTGAGAGAGAGGGGCATGTGATAAGTGGTGTTGCGGCAATGTGTCCGCGACGTCCCATGCTTGCTTGGGCCCCAGGCGCTGGGGCCCCGCGCGCTGGCCACTGATCGTCGCCGTCTTCTCCTTATTACGTTCCGTCGTCGTCCTCGTCCACGAACTCACGAAGCATCGTGAGGAATCCCTCCTCCTCGCTCGCAGTGGCGAGCTTTACGGCGTTCCATCTCAACCAGCCCCGCAGCGGCCAGCCCCGTCGACCGAAGATTTCCGCGGCGCCATGTTTGCAGCCGCCACTCCCGTACCGGGTTATGTTTTATATCGCATGTGTCATTCTTCCGCCGTTCCGTACGCCCGCGGCTTTGAATAAGAGACCAGTGTTGAAACCAGGTGTAAGAAGTTTCTGTCAGCGCAGTGTTTTGCTTCCAGCCGGATCCTGCAAGTAGTAGATCGATTTGTTCCATCGGCTTACAAGTCCACCAGGTAAAGGTAGCGACGGGGGCCAATCAGAGCAAAGGTATAAGTATTATGATTCAAGGCCGCGGGTGTACTTTATCCGTGTGCAACAGGGCGCACGCGCGAGCTGACCATGATCATTTTTTCCGAGATCCTTATATCGCTCTTCTCCGCACCTCCTTCGCCTCCCCCTTCTGCTCGAGGCGAAAAGCATTGCCATGGCAGTCCGGCTGGCTGGTTGGCTCCACAGCGACTCTTTTTCGTTGTGTTTTTGGGGGTGAAGGGGGGGGGGTCATACCCGCCTGTGGGGCGAATGGCCTTGTTACTGCGATGGATGGGAGGGTTGCCAATCTCGTGAGCTAGGGGCTCTCTAGGAGATGGGGGCTTGTCTGGAAGCTCTTCGTAAGACTGTTCCTCTGGAGGAGGCCCTCTTACGGCGTCCCACCCTGGCCAGCTCCCCAGCGGCCAGCGAGTGGCCGTTTCCGCACCAGAGTTGTTTTTTTGCATGTGTCGTTCTTCATTCGCTTCGTACGCCCGCGGCTTTGAATAAGAGACCAGTGTTGAAACCAGGTGTAAGAAGTTTCTGTCAGCGTAGTGTTCTGCTTCCAGCCGGATCCTGCAAGTAGTAGTTGCTGGATGGGGCCAGATCGATTTGCTCCATCGGCTTACGAAGTCCACCAGGTAAAGGTAGCGACGGGGGCCAATCAGAGCAAAGATATAAGTATTATGATTCAAGGCCGCGGGTGTACTTTACCCGCGCGCTCGGTGTGCAACAGGGCGCACGCGCCGGCGAATGGTTGAATTCGGCGTCCCACGCCGACGCATGGACTGTCCTCGCAGGGTGTTGTCCAGGTCTCTCGTTCCACTTGGCAATGGCAGAACAGACGCCGCAAAAGCTGACCCTCACAGCTCCTCTCCGCACCTCCTTCGCCTCCTCCCTCGGCTCGGGGCGAAAAGCACTGCCATGGCGCGGGTGGAACACGCCAGTCTGGCTGGCTGTTTGGCTCCACATCGACAAGCTTTCCCAGTGGTGTTTGTGTTTTTGGGGGTGAATGGGGTGTGGGGACGTCGGCAGTTTGCGAGACTCTGGAGAAGCCCGCCGCAGGCGCCACAGCTTCCACACATTATACAACGAGCCCGCCGCAGGCGCCGCTTTTTTGTCTAAACATTATGGGTCGGTCGCAACTGGGTCGCGGGTGGGTCGCAAATGGCCTTGTTACTGTGATGGAAGGCATAGTGGCCAATGCCGCAAGCAAAGGGATCCAGAGGGCGGGGGTTCGTCTGGCAGCTCTTCGTAAGCCTGTTCCTCTGGAGGCCCTCTGGGGTGCCCTCCTGGAACCCCCTGGGGCGCCTTGGGGGCATCTTCGATCGTCTTGAGGCCGTTTGGGAGCGCTGCTGGGCCGTCGTGGACCGGCTAGGGGGCCTCTTTGTGTCCCCGTTCAGCCGTCTGCGCGCTCTGCGGCCTTGAGTAAGAGTCCTGCCAGGCGCTGCGGGGAGGAAGGTCGGAGAGGGGAGGGGATCGGGACGATCGAAGTGGGCACAGAAACAGTGGGCACAAGGACCAGCAGCAGTTCGCCGCCCACGTTGTCCATTGAAGACGAAAGGCCGCCCGGCCCACAGCGGACTCTGTCGGTTTTGGACCACATTTGTTGTTGGGCATCGTGCCCATGTCTTCCGTACCCATTTCGGGCGTGGGTTGGGGAAGGGGAGAAGGGAAGGGTTGGGGAAGGGAAGAAGGAAGGGACAGCAGGCGGGGGAGAGGCGGGGGGGAGGGCTGGGGAAGGGAAAAAGGGAGGGGACGGTAGGTTCGCGTCGTATCGATTGGCGGCGACCCCGCCGCCGGCGTTCATCGTTGAACGCCAGCGGCGGCCCAGAGTCGGTCGATATTGAGCGATCTGACCTTTCGGAAACGGAAGATCGTTCGGGGTTAAACGATCTTTTTTTCTGGAACCGACGCTGGGGTCGGCACGACGCGAACCTTCCGTAGGGGAGGTAAGGGGGAGGAGAGTTGGGGAAGGGGTTTTGCAGTGTGCGGAGGGGGGGGATTTGGGCAGTGGTGCGAGCTGAAGAAGCGGGGCAAGCATGTCTTGTTGGCCGTCCCTCCTGGAAGGCACGGGAACGCAGTGTTTCGCGGAGGGGCTGCTGCATTTCGCATGGACAAGCAATCGGCGCACGTGTGTCGAAGACGCTTGCGGCGGATCACCGCCGCCCCCTGCCTATTGGAGGCGCCGATGCGGCCGACCTTTGTTGCCAAGGCTTGGACAAGCTGTCGGACGTGGTGCTCCCCGAGCCGCAGTGGAAACCGTTCGGGAAACCATTTGGGGCAGGACGAGGGAGAGCTGAGCATCAGGAGGTGGAGGAGGAGGAGGAGGAGGAGGTGGAGGAGGAGGAGGAGGAGGAGGAGAAGGAGGATGAGGCTTCCTTGTGGCACCGGGGCCACCGCGCGCGGGCCTCGCCACGACTTGGGCCCTGGGCCACGAGTCCCCCCCCGCATCCCTCCCGTCCCCGTCCGTCCCAGGCGTCTCGAGTCTTGGGCTCACCGTCCGTCGCAGGTGGAGCTGTGCGGCTGGTCCCGGCCTGGGATGCAAGGCTACGTGGCGTGGCAGAACGGGCTGTTGTCGCCAGAGGCCACGGCCTCCCCCCCTCTACCTCCCGCCGGTGGGCGGGAGGAGGAGGAGGAGGAGGAGGAGGAGGAGGAAGAGGAGGAGTAGGACCAGGAGGTGGGGGGAAAAGGGTGGTGAGCGGAGGGAGAATGAGGGGCGGAAAGGGAGGAGGAGGAGGACGAAGAGGAGGAGGAGCAGGAGGAGGAGGACGAGGAGGAGGAGGAGGAGGAGGAGAAGGGACGCAGAGAAGAAAGAAAACGAGAGCGGGAGGAGGAGGAGGTCGAGGAAGAGAAGAAGAGTTAAGGAGGAGGAGGAGGAGGAGGAGGAAAAGGGGAGAGAGGGCGAGGGATGATGGCAAGCACCCTTCCAACCCGTCCCTTCCCATTGCGGTATGTTTTCTATTTGCGACGCGTGCCATAGCGGACTTGAAGCCCAAAGAGGGGCCCCATTCAGGTATGCACAATCGGAAACATTGAACAGGGAGTTGCGTACATCGGGGAAGGAGGCGGCAAATACACAGGAGCACAGGAGGAACAGGAGGAGGATGAGAAAGTCGGAGGACAAAGACGAACAGCAGCAGCCAGAGCTGAGTAGTGAAGGAAGTCGGAGGACAAGGGGAGGGCGGAGGAGAGGAAATGAGCGGGCGGCATTTGTGCGACAAGAGGTGATGGCTGGCATCCGCTGAACCACATACTTTTCGCATCTACTTTCGTACAAGTAAAATATGGCGCGCGCGGCCGGCCTCCTCCCTTCGGCCAGGTCGTACGCAGCACCATGAGAGACACTCGAGGAGGTCACCCATAACATTTGCCGATCAACAAGAGTATTCCCTTCATGGACACGGCGAGGCACAATGCTGGTTATCCGCCGAAATAGTCACCGCGATATCTCGGGACTGTCACGAATCTCGGGGGTGGTGGGACCAAGTCAAGAGAAAATAGAGACGGTGTTGGAGAAGTACACTTACTGTGAAGAGGGAATTCTACGGACCGCTCTTCCTGACAGTCGTCATGGTGGATCTGACAACATACTCCTCGAGACGATTCCCGCTGACTGCGTCGGCGTTTCCGCCTTGGGCCTTCAGCAGATTTTCAGCAAGCTGGATTATGAAAAAAGGACGGCTCGTTATCGAGCGGAGTTGGTGGCAGCAACGATACCCCGCGGTCGGCTGACAGTATTGCGCAGGCTGGCGAATAATGGCATGGGAGCGGCGCTCCCCCCGAGGGCGCCCCGACCTGTTTCCTTCAACCAGGCCTTCGTGATCAACTGCGATTCCTCCGGTGGCGCGATCACCGTATCATCGGGGGCCGAAGTCTAGGTGAAATCGACACATCGTCAGGTTCGAGACGCCGCGGCCGGGCAGCGCACTTTCGACGGTTCCTGCGTCTATGATTCTGGACCGTCGTCGAGGACTGCCGGCACGGCACATAACATGATAAGCCAGCAGTTTTCGATGACTGTGTTGCCGACGCCTCACACGCCGAGCTGCGTCAGCCACCGGCTACGGCAATGGCTACTACGCCTGATCATGAGGGCAGGCCTGAACCCAACCCAAGGGCGACTTTGCCGACGCCGAAAGCCGCCACCGAGCCAATAGTGCCCGCCTCCAAACAGCCACGCGAGACCGTCGACTTCTCAGTCACTTCACCACTCGGGAAGCGATCCAAGACGGACGGTGTCCCGGAAGAGCCCCTACTGCCTGATCCGGGGGGCGATCTTGGGAACTATCTCCTCTTTCCGCCGCGCCCGACGGCGCCGCCGCTGAAAGCGTCGCGCGCCGGGGTCTTGACGCGGCGTTCCATGAAGAAGCCAGCGCCATGCACTCGCCCGCGGGGAATTCACGGCGCCGGGCCGCGGCAGGACGGCCATGACCAATTGGGCGCTTCGGCGTCGACGGCTCGGACGGCGCGCCCGCCTTGGCCGAGCGCGCGCGTTCGGGGGCCCCGCGCAAACTCTGGCCGCTGCTGCTGCGCGCGGGGATCATTCGGAGTTGCTGCTTGCCCTGGCTGAATCTCCGCGGCGCTTCTACCTGGACGAGGACAAGGTTCGGGAATACTTGGACAGCGATTTCGGCGAGCACAGGGCCGCGTTGTCTTTCGTTTTCGCGCTGCCCCCCCCCCCCCCCGAGCCCGGAGGGGAACGCGACGGCGACGAGGGGCGGGGCGTCGAGGAGGGGGCGGAGGAGGGGCGGCGCGAGCACATGCGCGCCCAAGACGGGGCGACGCACGGGGCCACGCCCAGCGCGTAGCGGGGCCTCACAGCACATCTTGGACATCGCCACCATGTCCGGGATATCGCGCGCGCCCTCACGCCGACGAACACGCGCATCGCGTGCCGGAAGGTCTTTGCCATGCAAGTCACTGCTAGCAGCCGTCTTAAGAGCTCGCTTCGCCGCGGCCGATGCGACCCTCGGGGCGCCTCGTCGATCGCGGAGCTCGCCGAACCGACCCCGACGAGGCGCCCGCTGCGCGACTGCGAGTGGGGGTCGACTGCTGCTCTTAGGCCCCACTTTGTGAGTCATCTGCCGTTGGTTGTCGAGCCCCCCACGGCAGCGGCGCGGGCTATGCCCCGCTCGCCATGGCGGATGCTTCGGGGCCAGCGGCGGCGTGAGGCGCCCGGGCCCCCCGCGGCGCCGCCCTGGCTCGGGCCGCCGACGAAGCGGGCGGGGGCCCTTGCATCGGGGGTGGGCGCGGCGAAGGGGGGCGCGAAGGGCAAGAAGGCGGAGGGCGCTCTCGCCTACTCGGTCGCGAAGTTGTTGCTCAATTTGGCGAGGGGGGCGGCGACGCTCGAGGCAGCGGCGGTCAACCGCGCCTTCTCGCCCCGACAGCTCGGGCGCGGCGCGCGCGGCTTCCAACGAGAACTACGGCGGCGATTCCAAGGCCACGAAGCAGCGCCAGAAGGGCGGCGACGACATCGACTGGAAGGCCAGGGGCGCGCCGCGCGTCGCGCTGTTCGCGAACGCCATTCAGCGCGCCATCGGCGCCCCTGCTCCCGACGGGCCTTCCCCGCGCGAGTTGGGGCACAAGGCCGTGCCCAGAATCTGGGATAAGATCGTCGCCGCGCAGAGCCATCAGGGGTTGGGCCTCCTCGTCCTGCAGCGCCGCTAGAAGAAGGCGCGTCAGCCTCGCGAGGGCGAGGGGGCGATGGCGGTCGACAAGAAAGGCGCCCTCTCGGTGAGCGTCAATGTTCAGGACATGGAAACAGCGAGAACCTTTTGGCCGATATTCACAGAATGTCTCTCAAAGGTGGGGAAGTGCGAGGCGATCCCTGGAGAGAAGCCCCGCGGGGGCACTCGGAGCGTTGGATCAGCTCGCACGTGAAGTGGCGGTGCCGCCGCCCAGCCTGGGGCCTGAAAGTGACTCAGGGGCTGTCGCCTTCCGTCTGGTCTCGGGACGTAAGCAGCCTTTGCTGGCGAAATCGGCCCACCTCAGGGAGCCCATACAAGGGGGGATGGTCTCTCGGAGAGATTTGTCCCGCCCATTCGAGGTGGTTCTCGCGTGCTCTCATCCTGGCCTCCCCCCAGTGCCCGTTATGATTCTCCCGGTGGCGAAGGCGGCCATTGCTAGCCACAATAAAGAAGGGACAGAGTCGGGGTCATGGACGTCGTGGTGGTCGCGGCGGGGGGAAGGGAGGGAGTAACGTAAACGACGCGCCCCTCGGACTTTTACCTTCCTCCCCTCCCCCTATTCCTTCGAGGGGAGAGGGGTCCCCCATTCGCCCGATCGTGTTTGTCCGAGGAGGCCCACGTTGCTCGGCACCCCCCAGGCGGCGCGCCTATCTCGGGGGGGCGCTCGGCAGGGGCAGCGCGGGTGGTTCCCAACATGCCGCCCGCGCTCGAACCGCAGACCCAGCTGCCACAGAAGCGCGCAGAGCTCACAACTATGTGATCCACTGTCCTGGGAAATCCATTGCGCTGGTTCAACTAATCTTGTGTTGTCTTGTCTTCCCGTCCTCCTCCTCCTCCTCCTCCTCCTCCTCCTCCCCTCCTCCTCCTCCTCCTCCTCCTCCTCCTGCTCCTCCTCCTCCTCTCACTTCCTCCTCCATCCTACCCTCATCCTCCTCATCCTCCTCCCCTCCTCCTCCTCATCCTCACCCTCCCTCCCCCTCCCTCCTCCCCTCCTCCCATCCGCGCCTCTACCCCTTCCCCTCCTTCCTCATCTCCTCCTACGCCTCCTCCTCTCCTCCTCCTCCTCCCTCCTTCCTCCGCCTCCTCCTCCCTCCTCCTCTTCTTTTTCCTTCGCTTTCTCCTCCTCCTCCTCCTTCCTTTTCCCTGTGTTCATTTCTCGGGTCGTCCAGGAGGCTTCTTCCTGTCTCTGGCGAAGGAATTCTCCATTCCTCGGCGGGCCGTCGCCGTGCGAGCGCTCTGCCAGTAGTTCACCCTGGTGTGTCCGGTGTTCACTGCAGTGCTGAATTGGTTCCCCCCTCCCCCGCAACCGGCATGTTTACTTGATGTTGGCCGGCGAGCCAGCCGCCATTTTGTTGGTTGTTCCCCGCGCTTGCTTCCCCACACGAGTTGCGATTACGGGTGCCTGTGAAAGCTCGCGCGCGCTCGCGGGCAGTTGCGGGTGCCCGGTGGAGCGCTTGAGAGCGCATGCGAGCGCTTGCGAGCGCCTGCGCGCGCTTGCGAGCGCCTGCGCGCTTTTGCGAGTGCGGGGAGGGCACCCAGGAACGAATGCGAGCGCCTGGAGCGCCAGGAGGCGCCAGGATTAATCGAGGCGGATTCCAAGGAAATTTGCCGTGTATGTTTTGTTGCGAATTGGCACCGAGTGATATGAGTGTTTGTCCCGCCGCCAATTTGTTTGAAACGTCAGTTGTTGTTGTTGCACATGTTTTTTCCGCCGTTCGTTTCCTTTGGGGATGTGGAATGTGTTACGTATGTTGCGTCTGCTGTGATAGGTCGACATCGAAGATTTCTGTTTCGTCGATGGTGTCGTGATTACCTCCAGTTCTTCCATTGTGGTGTCGTGACTCCTCCCCCTCACTTGTTGTACGCTGGGCGATCTTAACACACTGACCTGAAGTGTATCACGTATAAACAAACGAATGCGCGAACGCGGCTTGGACAAAGCGCGAGCAATTTAGGCGAGGCCAGCGTAGAAGCTTGAGCGGACAGGGCGGAGAGACGAGGAGAAAGACAGGTCCAGAGGCTCGAAGTGTACGCTAGCCACCCTACCCTCGCGATCCCTCCTCCTCGGCCTCCTCCCCCCTCCCCCCCCCGTTCCTCCTCCTTCCTGGCAGGCGCGCCTCCTGGGGCCGCCGCGGCCCTCCCCCCCGCAGGCCATGGCGGCCGAGCGTTTCGTGGAGATCCCCGCGCTGCACCAGACGGCGATCTTCCGGCGCGCGGCCGTGGAGGAGGCCGCTCGGGCCGCTCGGGGCCGGAGGGTCTTCCGTCATTCGGGTGCGGCAAAGAGGGGGGTGATGACTAGGGGGGAGGGGGGATATCATGGCGGGGGCCATGATATTTCCCCAGATTTCACGGCGCCTCTTCTTATTTCATTACGTCCCTGGCCCCCCCGTTGGGCCGCGCATATGCCGCCAGTCATGATTTGCACCCCCCCCTCTTGGACACCCCCCTCATGGCCGCTCCCGAGCTCGGGGCCCGAGGGTCTTCCGTCACAGCTTGGCGGCGTAAGTCTTTCCCAGCCGCCCTGTGGTGTTGGGTCTTCGTTCTAGAAAGAGACGGAGCGCCCCTGTCACTCGCTCCTTCCACCTCCCCCCCCTCCCTCCTCCCATCCCTTGCACCCCTTGCACGCTTCGTGGCCCCACAGGGAGCTCCACCGAAGGCCCCAGTGGCAGGGTTCGCATGCGGTTCCTCCTCCATGTCTGCACACCCCACCCCTCACACTTTTCGTGTCCCCACAGGGAGCTCCGCTGAAGGCCCAGTGGCAGGGTTCGCATGCGGTTCATCCCCCATTTCGGCACACCCCTCCCACGTTTCGTGGCCCCATAGGGAGCTCCACCGAAGGCCCCAGTGGCAGGGTTCGCATGCGGTTCCACTTTCAATTTCGGCACGACCCTCACACGTTTCGTGGGACAGAAAGCCACCTGCCCAACCCCTTCAGTGCTCCTGCTGCTTCGGGACACGCGGATCCTCGTTCTGTTGCTGCTCCTCCTCCGTGTCCTTGCTCCCGACCATTGTCTATGTCCTTCCCCGCCTCTCCCTTCCATCTTCCTGCTCCCGTCCTCCTCCGCTCCTCCCCCTCTCCCCTCCTCGTCCGCTCCTCCTCCTCCTCCTCCTCCTCCTCCTCCTCCTCCTCCTCCTCCTCCTCCTCCTCCTCCTCCTCCTCCTCCTCTGGCGACGGCGACTACGACCACGACCACCACCACCACCACCACCACCACCACCACCACCACCACCACCAGCGGCAACGACGAACAGCGGGCGGCAACGACGACGAGCGACGACGACGACGGTGAGCGACGGCGAGCGACGATGACGGCCAGCGACGGCGAGCGGCGAGCGGCGACGAGCGGCGACGAGCGGCGAGCGACGACGACCACGCGCGACGACGTGCGACGACGACGCCGGCATCGAGCGAAGACAGCGAGCGGCGAGCGGCGAGAGCGGCGAGGTGCTCCGGGCCAGCGGCGGGGCCTACCGCGACGGCCCGCTGGCGCGACCCCGCGGCGAGGGCCCCGGAGGGGGGCGGCTTCCGGCGGCGCGCTCGGAGGAGGATCGGATCGATTCGGCGGGAGGGATCGCATAACAAACGACGGCATAAGCGTAAAGTGTCGAAACTCCGCGCCGATTGTTTGGATCTGCGCTGGCTTCCCCTGGCGGCGCCTCCGGCGCCGCTACCTGCGCGTCGATCTAAGAGACCTACGCGGGCGTCCAAAATCACATAAAGAAAAAACACATAAAGATAAATGTATAAGCTGCGTGAGCGCGCGACCGCGTGCGATTGCGCGCGGCTGTCATTTCCAGCAGGGGCGTCGTCGTTGTTCGGACACCGCTGCCCTTCGCAGCGAATTCAATTACACCCACGGATCAAGTTTGGGAGGCACGGCGCGCGTCCAGGAACGGGCCGCAGCCCCGATAAAGCAAATGCCTGACCCCTTGTTGCAGACCGCTCTTCAACCCGCCCACGGCAACTTCCCAATTCAACAGAGGAGGGGCTTCGGGACATGCAGGAGGAAGAGGGAGGGCCCAGGGAAGGGGCTTGGAGGGAAAGTCCCATTCCGTTAGGCGGATCCCGCTTGGCCAAAAACAGTGCTGTTTTGGGCGTGGCTACTCTGCCAGACGGCGCGGGCGCGTGGCTGGCGCCCCAGGCGACCCCGAAGTTCTCGTCAGTTTTCGGGGAAATCCGCTTCCCAAAAGTTGTTGTTGCGTTTCCGCGTGACCCTTTCGCCTTTCCGCAACATAGAGTTTTCAAGTTCTCGCGCGGCATAAACCTCTCAGGGCGGAAAATCTAGATGACGGGCTCTGATGTGTTAGTTTTTCATTTTTCGTGCGACAGAAGTTTTTGGCTCCCGATTTCGGGGAACAAGTGATTTCATTCAAAATGGATGAGTCAATTTTGCCTCTGACCAGTGCTGGCCCATTTCGATCGGTCGCAGGAAGTCGCGTCTTCGGCGGCAGGACTGCCCCACCGGCCCGTATAGAACAGCGCCGCGCTGAGGAGGGGCTTTCGGTAAGCGGAAGGCAGCTGGACTTCGCATGCGACTCGAGAAGCCGGACGGGAAGGTACCCGTTGCAGGGTTGCGAGCGCAGGGGCCTCGGAAACGTCATGCCCAAATTATTTTTCCTCGCCAGCATCATTGTTGTTTCCTCTTCCTCGTCCCTTCATTGTTCTCATTCGCTGCGCCCCACGTTTCGGATCCGCCATCACTTCCTCCTTCCACTTCCACCTCTCGGCTAACACTTGGCTGTCGCCCGCTCTTAGCCTTGTCGGCTACACTTGTTTCCCCGGGGCTCGGCGCGCACACTTTCCGATGTGTTCTTGCGCCCCGTTCGAGCAATTCCCGCGTGCGGGTTTTCGGGAAGCAGTTGTGCGCTCGCGCCAAATGACCCGCGACTTGCATTTCTTATGTCTATGCTTGTTCTGCAGAAGTGCACGTGTATGCCTCGGCTTGTTCCTCGAATGAAACGTCGTTAAAACGAAGCCAGGGCGATGATACATTCGGGCGAGCATAACATCGAGAACCTTTAAGATCTGGTAGCTCTGGAGGATGTCGTGGGCGCTGCGGCCTCCCTGGGGCTTTCGGGGACGCGCTGTGGCGGATTTGTTTTCGTCCTGGCCCCGTCCGGGTCGCGCCCCGCAGCGCCGTCTGGGCTCCCCCCCCCCCTTTTGGGGGGCCCGCAGGGATGGATCCTCCAGTTCAAAAAGCAGTCATGGCAGTAGTTGTAACCCACCCTGCCCGTCGGTCAAGAGCGACCCAGGCCACAAGTTCCACGCAGGCTCGAATCGATCGAAAAAAAACAAAAAAAACTTGCGGCGCCCCTCGAGGATTTCTTGGATCCGCGCTTGGCCCCCCCCCCAGCGGCGCCTCAGGCGCTGCCCCTGGCGCGTTCGCGCGTCAAGGAGGGGGTTCGGCGCAGATCCAAGAACTCCGCGGGGATTGTGAACAGTTTATGTTCATGGCGGTCGTTCTTCTTCGAACCCAGGCCCCATCCTCCACCCGGGCTCGAAGGAGGGAGGAGGGGGAGGGGGACGTGGCGGACGGCGCTTCACCGCCCGAAGCGGCCCGAGAGGGCTCCGAGGCGGCCCCTATGCCAAAGCCCAAAGCTGGCCCAGCGGGCGCTCAACGCATTCCCGGGACGGCCCAGAGGAAGGCTTCCAGGCGGCCTCGTAGAGGCCCACAAGGTGGCCCGAGAGGCCCCAGACCAAGAGAGTCGTTGCCGGACGCCACCCGGCGATTTGGGGGGCTTCCCGTGTGCTTGTCGCGCGCGCGCCCCGCAGCATGCCTCCGAGAAAGGAGGGGGAAGGGGAGGGTGGGGAGAGGGAAGGAGGAGGAGGAGGAGGAGGAGGAGGAGGAGGAGGAAGAAGAGGAAGAGGAGGAGGAGGAGGAGGAGGAGGAGGGGAAGAGGCGGAGAAAAAGGCGAATTCGAAAGGGCCTCCCGGCGAGACGAACCGCTTCTAGTTCGAAGCTCAAAGGAGGAGGAGGAGGAGGAGGGGGCTGAGCAGGAGGAGGAGGAGGAGGAGGGAGGAGTGACCAGGACGAGGCGTGAGGGAGAGGAGGATGAGGGGGGAATAGTGGATGAGGAGGAGGCGGAGGGAGGAGGAGCGAGGAGGAGGAGGAGGAGGAGGAGAGGAGAGAAGGGGGAGAGGGGAGGAGGTGGAGGAGGGGGAGAGAGGGAGGAGGGGGAGAGGGAGGATGGTGGAGAGGAGGAGGAGGGGAGGGGGGGGAGACAAGGAGGAGGAGGAGGACGAGGAGGAGGAGGAGGCGGGAGGAGGAGGAGGAGGAGCGGGGGAGTAAGTAGCAGTTCCAACAGCTTTCAGGGGCAATCGATCGCGGCGTCTCTACCTGGCAACATGGGATCACAGAAGGAGCAGGGGGCACACAGCGGGCACGAGGGCAAGAACCACCCTTTTTTCTTTTTTTTTTTTTTAGCTCCGCAGGGGTACCCTTTTTTTTTTTTATTTTTTTTTTTTTTTTTTTTCTTTTTCTTTTTTTTGTTTTTTTTTTTTTTTTTTTTTTTTTTTTTTTTTTTTTTTTTTTTTTTT